CCAAACCACTCCGAGACATTGCCCTCTCCCTGCCAAATATCAGGAGGTCAGGGACCACCCCTCCCGATGCCAGCTCAGCCCAAAGCCAAGGACACTCCTGTCCTGTCTCCAGCCCAGCACTTGTGCAGCAATACCTCCTTCCCCCAAATATTGCCCTGATATGGACCTTCTGTCCCCCTGGACAAAATCAGCACCAGGCCAGTGGCCTCCTGGATCAGGCCAATGTTCCCAAAACAGACTCACCAACAATAGGTCACACCTTTACCCAAACCAGGAGGGGTCCTCTCCCAAGCCTTTGCTGTCCCTCCAGGCTGGGTGAGATCAGACCGTGAAGTGACAGTACCCTGCCACCCTCTCCTGACCTGGGACCGGGTCACGGTCCCCATCTTCCCTAAACCTGGGGAAAACCAGGGTAGTAACAACCATCTCCTCCCCAAAATGAGAGTAAACCACAAGGTGACTGAGGACACTTTTACCAAACCATGCCTAGGTCACTAACATCCACCCAAATGGGCTTGTTTGCCCCTTCCTCACCCCACAGCCCTCCCTTTAGGTTAAATTGATCCCAAGGAACGAGCACGGGATCGGTGCCAACCCTGAAACGGCTCCAGACGGAAGCTGGCTGTCTTCGTGGCTGAGCAAAGGTCCCCCACAGCCACCTAAGGGCAGCCCCCGGACAACCTCTGCCCTCCTCCGTCTGGGAAGCAAACAGGGGCTGAGCTCCCAAGCCCTGTGCTGCACAAGTAACCGCCCCTGGGCTGCATTCCCAGCTCGAGAAAGGGAAGCCTGGACCCTATTTTCCCTCGGGGAGGCTATCCTACCTTTTTCTGCCTCTTATGCACCTCTGGGGACCTCCTGGGCTGGGACTAAACCTGCCAAGGGGAAGAGAGAGAGCAAAGTACTGAACCACAGAGTTCTGGATGGAGATCCCAGATTCAAGGCCATCTCCGAGCGTTAGGAAGATGATGTGGTGTGAAATGTTCTGTCTTTTCCCCTTTTTGCCCAGGGAGGCCCTTGGAGAAGATGCGGAGCCAAAGGTGGCTGAGGAGGAAGAAGAGCAGAGAAGGAGTCATAAGGAGATTGAGGAGAGCAGGCAGGTGCGGCAGCAGGACAGGAAGGTCCTCTCGGGTCCCCGACCTCTAGACATTTGGCTTTACCCTCCCTTTAGCTTTGTGCAGTGCTTAGTGTCACACAGAATCACAGAATGTTCCGAGTTGGAAGGGACCTCTCGAGACCACCCAGCCCCACTCCCCTGCTAAAGCAGGATTGCCCAGAGCACATCCCTCAGGACTGCATCCAGGCGGGTCTTGAAAACCTCCAGAGAAGGGGACTCCACCCCCTCCCTGGGCAGCCTGTGCC